TTTTCGGCACTTCAACATGAATAAAGTCCTCCATATATAAAAATAACTAATCTTCTTTGGGGAACAAGCGAATAACAGCTAAGAAACGGATAAATTTCGACTCCGGAGCTGCACACACGACTCAATCCGTAACTCCCTTAAATATTAACTTATAATTTTCAAACTTCACCAGAAATTAGTGTTTAATATACTAAACAATCGTACCAAAGGGAATTTTTATACACTAATTAGGGGGCACATGACGGGCCAAAATGGATTTTGTTACATAACCAGAAGGAAGTTCTTTAAGCTATATATTCGTGGAAGCAATGTATGAGTCGTGGTGTGGTTGTTAGTGCCATGGGTAGAGAAGTTTGTAGACTCGGAGATCAGGGGTTCGGTCCTGGTCACGGAAAAATTTGTAATTTTTTTTTTCTATCTACTTTTTTTTATTTTTTAAAATTTATTTTTCGATATTTCATATTGAAGAAAGTGTTACATATATAAAACTTATTATTTTTTTTGGGAAACAGGGAATATCAGCTAAAAAACGGATAAATATTGACTCCGGAGCTACGCACGCGACGCATTCCGTAACTCCCTTTAATATTAACTTATAATTTTCAATCTCTGCCAGAAATTAGAGCTTTATATACTAAACAATCGTACCAAAGGGAATTTTTATACACTAATTAGGGGGCACATGATGGGCCAAAATGGATTTTGTTACTTAACCGGAAGGAAATTTTTTAAGCTATATATTCGTGGAAGCAACTTGTGAGACGTGGTGTGGTAGTTAGTGCCATGGGTAGAGAATTTTGTAGACTCGGAGGTCAGGGGTTCGGTCCTGGTCACGGATTAATTTTTAATATTTTTTTCTATTTAACTTATTTTATTTCTTAAAATTTAATTTTTCGATATTTCAACGTGAAGAAAATGTTACATTATAAAAATTATTTGTTTTCTTTGGGAAAGAGGGAATATAAGCTAAAAAACGGATAAATTTCGACTCCGGAGCTACGCACGCGACTCACTCCGTAACTCCCTTTAATATTAACTTATAATTTTCAAACTCTGCCAGAAATTAGAGCTTTATATACTAAACAATCGTAAAAACGGAAATTTTTATACACTAATTTGGGGGGCACATGATGAGCCAAAATGGATTTTGTTAATTAACACACTCTTTCCCTTCATGTGTTTCCTCTTTTGCAGAAGATAATTTTCATTTTCTAATTCAATAATTGTCAACCTTTTTTTTTTTCGTTGCGGCGCACTTTTAACGATTTCGAAGCAAACAAAAAATTTAAAAGTTGTTTACATATTTTTTTTAATACTATGTGTAAAACAGTATATCATAATTATTTTGAATGTAAAATAAAATAATGTCTACTACAAAAACAGCAGTAAAGGTATTAAATTACAAGTTAACAGTTATTATTATT